CACAGAAGGGTCTGTTGGACAGCACTTTTGTATGCTATTAAATCATAAATAATTTGCTTCATCTATAATTATTTTGTACACCATCTAAGAGTAAGAGAAAGAAGTAAGAAGAGTAAGTAAGAAAGAGTAAGAAGAAAGAGTAGGACCCAACTTTAAGGATATATGTATAGCACCTCATTTGCTTAGAAGTGGTACTAATGAGACTTGTTGTTTATTTGTTGTTGCATTAATGCACCTGTTTCCCTGTTGATGGCCTGTATTTCTGTTAGCAAGTTCTGACTAAGAGTGACATGATCAGAGTTGTGTTTTGCAGAGATTGCATTCTCACTGCAGTGTAGGCAGGACGTCAGGCAGAGAGAGACAAGAGCTGGCTATCGGACTACTAGCTAGCAAAGTAGGGAGTTGTCCAGGTGAGATGAATGTGGTGGCAGAAGGAGAAGTGGATAGAGTTAGTCATAATAACACAATAGAATCAGGAGGACTTGGTGTTTGAATAGATCAGGGTCCAAGTGTGAGTTTGTGTGTATGTGTGTGTATGTGCATGCACACATGCACACGTGCGTGCACACAACAGGAGGGTGGGATGACAGGGATATTTGCAGCATCTGGAAAACAATGCAGTGGGTAATGGTGCCATCAGTTGGGTTATGTTAACACTGAAGGAGTGGGTTTAGGGGATAAAGTGGGAGTCTGACTTTAGAATTAAATTTAAGTACTTGTGAGATACTTGAGGGGAGGAGGCAGCTCCTCCTCTTGGTCTTGGTCTCAGTGGCAAGATTTGGACGAAAGATACAAACTTCAGAGTCGTTGGTTAAATGAGGAGGCAAGATCACCTGGGGGAAGAACAGAGCAGTCTATCTGGTGTCTTCATCAGATGCCCTCTCTTCGTCAGAATTAACTGAGGTGTCTTTGGGCTGGTTCTCAGGGATTGGCAAGCCCCTTGGTAATGCTGACGTGTGCCAAAGTTGGAGAAGCACCGATCCAGCATGTTGAAATGGTGAACATCTAAGCCTGAGCCATGGGAGAAGAGGGATCTGAGGTGTTTTCCTTTATGTAAAGAATGAAAAATAAGAACAGAGACGGAGAAACCAGAGGTAGGGAAAGGAAACTGAGGATGTGCAGTCCCTCCAGTTATATCCCACTAAGGAAGAGGTAAGGGCAGCTACAATTTGCTAGAAAGTAGGAGATGAGATTTAGGATCAAGGAGAATGGAAAACATTTAAAAATTGAGGGCATCATTAGTCAGCTAGAGATCAGCTTAAGTCGTGCCAGGTAACAGCAAAGGCCCACTTTGGAATGTAGTAGCACATGTTTCTCAAGATTTTGTAAATGTCTTTCATAGGACTGAGAATTCAGGGAGTGAGCCACCAGTAGAATTAAGGTAGTCTGGTAGAAATCAAAGGGACCAGGAATATATTAGAATTATTATTGGTACTGAAGTATCATTAAAAGACACATTTCAGCATAGGGTACAGGCAAGTGAAAATAAGAATGGAGGAGTGGAGGTTATAATGATGAAGACCAGTGTAGGTTAGAGGACTGGAGATATTGGAGAGAAATATGGAGCAGTCCCACAGTCTTGAGTTCTTAGAGGTGAGTCTGAGAGATGAGGGAGTCAAGCTAGTGCATGTGCTGGGCTGTGGTAGCATGGAGGTTAAGTTCATTAGGAGCTTGTATGTTAATCATGATGGCAAGGGAATGATAAGAAATGCTTGTGTGTCTGGTGTTGACATCATCAAGAAACTAGGATTGTTTCTTATAGGTCCGTGAATAATAGGTGACAGAGATGGGAAGAAGTTGACAAGCTGGCACTAGGAGAAATAAGTTTATTTTATTTATTATTTTTTTAATTAAAGATTTTTATTTATTTATTTGACAGAGATCACAAGCAGGCAGAGAGGCAGGCAGAGAGAGAGGAGGAAGCAGCCTCCCCGCTGAGCAGAGAGCCCGATGTGGGGCTCGATCCCAGGACCCTGAGGTCATGATCTGAGCCAAAGACAGAGGCTTAACCCACTGAGCCACCCAGGCGCCCCTAGGAGAAATAAATTTAATCCAGAAACACAAATGATAGGTGAACTCCAAAGCCTTGAACATTTTAAAAACAAAGACAGTAATTTGAGCCATTACAGTTAACCCTTATGTTGTGCCTACTAAGCACCCAGCCTAATGGCTAAGCACGTTACTTATGTTAACTCATTCGATCCTTACAATGACCCCATAAGGTAGGGATAAACCTATTTACAAATGCACAGAGGTCTAGAAGTTTGCCCAGTGTTACACAGGTGGTCAGTGATGGGACCGGGCTTTGAACCCAAGCAGTTTGCTGCTGGAGTCGGAGTCCTGAACCAGCTCCCTATATGGTCTCATAAACTAAACTTGGATATTTTAGAAGTTACTTTTCTGGGTGCCCATCTCTTGGAAGTAATTCTTTTAAGAAAAAAGTTAAAAATTAAAAACAACATTAATTTGTTCTCATATTACTTAAAGTAATGCACATTCACACTCTAAAATTTTGAAAATACATAAAAGGACAAAGTATATAAGAAAAATAGTTGCTGTAGTCATAGTTTTTATAGCTGGCCTTGTAGGGTGTGGTGTTACAGGAGCATGATGACACCCTCCTCTCTGGGAGAAGGGGCTGTGCCCTTACTTCTCCCCTGCCGACTGCTTGGGTAGAGCGTTCATTACTAGATCTTGGGAGTCTTCTTATTGCCCTTAACCCAACCTTGTGGGACCCTTATTTGCTCTTCTCTAGAAAACCATGTTAGCCACCTACCCTTGTTACCCAAAGCTGCCAGAATTGTAGAGGGTCTGAGATTTTACTGTACTTGCAAGCTGACAATTAGTCTGGTTCCTGCGTGGTTGTTGTAGACACGAGACTCCTGATCAGAGACAAAGGACTTCATGACTCAGAACAGGTAAGCCATGAGCTTCCTGTTCCCCAGGACAAGCCCTCCTCCCACCAGCTTCATGGGGGCATGCGGCTCCGGTGACGCCACTCCTGCTATGGGCTCAGGTCTTAGCTGAGCAATCTCAGACCTAGGGAAACCCACACATGGGTTTCAGGGAAACTTGCCTGGCTTTGCTCTGTGGGAAACAGACCTACTTCTGCTTCAGAGAGATACCGTCTCTGTTTTCTGAGAGTGTTTGCTATCCAGACATCCTTAAAAGATAGTCCAGGGGTTCCTGGGTGGCTCAGTTGTTTAAGCATCTAGCTTGATTTCTGCTCAGGCCATGATCTCAGGGTCATGTATCCGAGCACCTATTCTTCTTATCCATGATAAGCTCTTCACATAATATTTGATGTGTAATAAGATTCTTGCTTACAAAAAAGGGCTGTTGCTCAGAAAGAGGGAAGGAAGGTAAAAGAAATTACTATTGAAAGGTGGCTACCTGGGCCACCTGGCTGGCTAACTTGATAGAGCAGGTGACTCTTCATCTCAAGAGTTGTGAGTTCAAGCCCCACACTGGGTGTGGCACCCACTTCAAGAAAAGAAAAAGAAAGGTGGCGCTCATGTTTTGGTATCCTAAGTGGCTTGAAGGTTGTGAAGTGCAGGTTGGAGAGTTCTTTGGGAGAGTCAGTGGGTTCTTCCGGAGCACGTTTGGGGACTTCATGTTTCGTCTCACTTGAGTCCTAACTACAGTTAGATCTGATGTGTTAAATAAAATACAAGCATCACTCACTCCAGTCTGCTGGCCTCCCTTCCTGTGAACACTTAAGGTGCGCTGACTCCACCTTTGAGGACATCTTTGGACCTGCCCCGGGCAGCTCGGTGGTAAGCCTGGCCTGAGAGCGGCCCCTCCAGCGCCCGGTCATGCTGGGCCTGGGCTGCTCCGCCAGGGTGCGGTCGGGCCTTCTCCTCTGCATCTGACTGCGCGCTGCGATTGACGTGCAGCCTCTCCAGTTAGCAAATAATATAGGGCGAAACTGAAGTAAGTGTGTGTTTTGGATCTTTATCACACAACTTCAACTGTTTTTAATGTGGAAGGAAATATTACATGAGATGTTAATTGAGAGACATAGATTTATTTCTAATTTTGTTTGTTGTATTAGATGTACATTAGTGCATTAGGGTATAAAACATCAATATGAGTCTTTGAATTTAGGTACGGATTCAGTCATTTAGTGACTTTTCAGGAATATAACAAAGTTGTTTTTTATTCATTTGTTTGCCTTGTCCAATAGGTTTCAATGTTTCAAGCTTAGAAGCCTTGGTTTGGCTTGGTTTAGAAGACCTCTGGTTTGGCCCTGAGATCAGAATTTGTTTTATGTCTAAAACAAAACTGTGCATAAAGATGGTTTATTATATTCCGGGCACATGAAGTAATGATGGTTTTATCTAATGTGAAGAAAGAAGTGGTACATAATTGATAGCTGAGTGCTGCGCCTGGCCTTGGTTTCTGCTGCCGGCTTTGGTTGGGGAGTCCCTGGGCTGCAGAGCAGGGGATGGTGGCCTCTGCGGCAGTGGGGGAAAGGGGATGCTGGCAGCTTTGGGGGTGAAGGGGAGGGGGTGCTGACAGCTGTGGGAGTGGAGGGGAGGGGGCACTGGTCCTTGTAGGGGTGGAGGTTAGGGGAGCGCTGGCAGCTGTGCTGGGGGCCGTGGGAGTGGTGCTCGTGGCTGGCGCCCTGGGACCCGGGGCTGTGTGCGCTCATGGGGTCCAGCGCTCCGATGGCTGCTTGGCCGCCAACCTTAGTCATTCTTGATGCCCTCACTTAGAGCTGCAGACAAAAATTCATCAACCTGTGTTTTAAAATATGGTTCTAAAAAATGTTTTCACGAACTCTTTTTTTTGGTTCTTTAAAGCTTGATGGTATTCTACATAATTTGGTAAAGCAAAGTCACTCTAAACCTGACACTGTAAAGCTGGAATTTTTAAATCTTGTTAATAAATACAAATTTCCTCCCTTTCCAAAGAATCTTTGTACTTTCATATAGATAGAAACCTAATTAATCATGAGATGAAATAAAATACAGTTAGATTTCCATTATGTTTTTCAGGGCATCCGAGCCCGCATTTTAGAAACTCTGGTCATGCTCGTCCTTCTTGCGCTCCTTATCCTCGGGATAGTGTGGGTAGCCTCAGCGCTCGTTGACAAGGACGCGGCGAGCATGGAGTCTTTGTATGGTAAGCCGGCTTCTCTCTGGGACCTGAACCGGGCGTGGAATTACACACTCGCTTTCCTGAGTGTTTTAATAATTCTTTGTGTCGTTAGCCCTGTTGCTAATTTACAGAGTTAATAAGTCTTTAGACATGTTTAGGAAAAGAAATGAGTGTTCGTGTGTTTGCTGTATTGAGAATGAGCAAGCAGCTTTTATGATTTTTTGTTTGTTTCTTAGTTGGATTCTGTTCTTAAAATTCCATGGAGACTTTTTTTCTCCTCCAGACAGGTTTTGCAAAAGGGTTATTTCCTTTTCTTCTATTTTAGATCTATTTATTGTATAATTTAGAAATTATATGGCTTAGACTCAAATAGACAGTTATGATGTTTATCAAACAATTTATAGTCAACCTGTATCTCAATGTACAATATTTTGGATTTACTAAAACATATGTGCGTTTCTTTGCAGATCTCTGGGAGTTCTACCTACCCTATTTATATTCCTGTATATCTCTGATGGGATGTTTGTTACTTCTCTGTAAGTATTTTTCTGGCTTATTGTTGACAGGAGAATGGAGTTCTTTATTTTCGAAAATTATAGTAAGGTTTCCTAAAGAAATGTTTTTAAAGTTGGCCCTTCACTTTTTTAATGTTAAGATAAATTTTGATAAACTGAAACCATGAAATAAAACACATGTGTTGTTCTTTAAGGAAAGTCTCTCTTGTAGAGAGACGCACACACAGGCGCACACTCACTGAAAGCATTAGACTCTACTTTTGAATAGTAACGTATAATTCTGTGTGGTGAGTTTGTGGTCTTTGTTTCACATGTGTCCAGTTTTACTCGAGTCATCATAGCGTGTCTCAGGAATACTGTAAGCAGATAAATGTAGGTGTAAGGAGTGAAGATAATAGTTTGGTTCTCAACTCCCATCAGCACTTGAAATTTAATCTGCTCCTTAGTTGGTTTTCTTGAATTTCTTTAAAGTGAAAAGACCTACTGAACTGCTAGAGTCTTGCACATACTAAGCCTTCTTCAACCTTCAGGTATCTTTCCTCCTCTACCTGTCACCCCCCGTAGCTTTTTTATTGAGAAAGTGTCCCCTGACAAAACACTGAGAGAATCTAAGTTTGAGGCAAGAGTTTTCTTAAAACGATAATCTTTAAGTCTGTTCTCTGTTTTGCACTAGCAATTTACCTGCCTCTTCTCTGTGATCTTTCCCGCAGTGTGTACCCCCGTTGGCCTTTCCCGCATGTTCACAGTGATGGGTCAGTTGCTGGTGAAGCCAACAGTAAGTGTGTCGTCTTGTTTGTGAAATAAATGTGTTTACATCTGAGCATCTTTTGGGTTGTGAATTAGCAATCAGAAACATTAGAATATTTCTGTGGGCTTGGGACCTTGTTATTGTTGCTTTTATTTTAATCTTCTTCATCTTTGGAAACCAAATTTGTTTTTGCTTTTAAAATACTAACTACAGACACTCAGGTGGAAATTCCTCTAGCAAATTTTATGACAAAATTTACAAATACTTACAGATATTTTAGGTGTCTGTTGTATCAGTAGTAACTCTGTTATGTTTCAGAATGTGCCACGTATATTCCTTGATTAACAGACCAGTTATGTCTCTGAGGAGTTGGTGCATGTTCGTTTTGATTATACTTTTCAGTTTAATCTCAGAGTTACCATATATTCATTGTTATGTGATTTTCAGTTGGCAGTAATCATAATGATTTGTTCCTAATTTCTTTGGCCTCTAGCTATTTTGTCAAATATTTGCTCCCATGAAAATAATTCTTAGCTGCATTTAAGGAACTTGCCATTTATATTATTTTCATGGGTCCTCACTGCCTATAAACTCAGGTCTGAATGACTCACAACCTGTTCTCTATTCCACTGACCTCCAGCCTCTGCTCCCACCCCCTTGTCTGATTCCACACTCTCCAGCTGACGGGCTGTGCTCACAACAGGCTGTGTGCTGTCACTTCCAGGCATGTCTGGGGCTTTCTCCCATCAGTGCACCCTGCCTGCTTCAGCCACCTGACAGCCTCCTCAAGGCCTGGCTCTGATGTTGGCTGCGTTCACTGCCTGTCTTTGAACCTTGCCTCATCTCTTCTTTTAAGTTGAAATAATCAAGCTTCTTTCTCTGCACCGCTCATATTCTCCTCTGTATTTCATCGGTGGCACCTATCAAATTATTTTGGTTATATGTTTGTCTTTCCTGTCAGAGTGATTAATCAAGGAAAAATTTGAAGAAATATTGCAGTAGAGGTATTCTTTCAGTAATGCATGCTTAATTTTGAGAGATTTAAAAAATAAAGGACAAATAATTTCTTCATATCTTTTTTAAAAATAAAATTGGTTTATTTAACATTGCTACATAAATGTATACATACTCAAATAAAACATGCTATCAAATCCTAAAATTCACTTTCCTCTGGAAGAGGTTTTATGACACTGCATTCTTAATTTCTTCCTGATTCTCTGGCAGAGCTTTTTTTTTTTTTTTTTTTTTTTTTGGTCTTTTTCTCTGTTTCTATTTTCTGGCCCCCTAAAGATAGGCATATGTTCTAAATTCTGTCTTTGGTCTAACGTGGCTCTGCTCCATTCTCCTGACCACCTCTGCCACTTTCATGACACTTCTATATGTGTAACTCTGGGGAGCAAAAGGCTCTGCAAACAAACCACACCACATGATAAATGCTGTCCCTGAGTACCCACGGAGCTGAGAGCTCAGCTCATAGAAAACCGAACTACTTACTTAGCGCCCTTCCCAAAGCTGATTTTTCTTCTAAAGTTGTCTCTTACTAACATTATTCTCAAAACTTTAGTTATCTTTGTCTCTTTTCTTTTTGCTAAGACCCACTATTAATGATATTAAGTCAGTCTAGGCTCTATGTTTGTGATAAGTACTATATTTTACACACATTTCTCATTTAATCCTGCTAATAAACCCGTAAGTTAGGTGGTGGTCTTATTTTATGACTGAATTATCTGTAGTTCAGGGAGATTAAGTTGGTTGAACAAGATTTCAGATCAGTCTTGGTGGGGCAGGATTTGAACCCAGAGCCTGGTTTCAGACCCTGGACCACTGTTCTCTTCTGTCATAAGCTCCAGAGTACTTGAACCACGTTGTTGCTGAATGTACTTCACATCTCTTCACCTTTGTACTCTGCTTACAGTTTCTGATCCAGATGCCTTTCCCATTTTTAATAAATTAAGCTATCAGATAAGAGGCTACTATCATCAAAAACACTTGGCAAAACTTTTTTCTTCCCACCTAGAAGTTGGGGATCTTTCTTCCTCTGAGCTTTTGTAATGTTTTAGTTTTGCTTGAGTTACGACAGGTATTTTAACCCTGTAATTACTTTTTTTGAGTTCATTCTGTCTCTCCTGGACACTAGAATGTAAGCTGTTTGAGGTCAAGGACTGTCTTTGACTCCTATTTAGGTCCCCATCAGCTCAGAGTGGTGAAGAGTGTGGGCTTCAAAAGGCAGATAACTTTTCTTTGCCAACCCCTGTTTCTTGGCATATTATAAGACGGGGAAGACAACAGTCTGATTTTCACTGGATTGTTGTAGAATCAAGGGGATGGGGCGTATAAGCATTTAACACAAATATCTGTGTGCCCCTCATTGTCGCTCACTCGTATGAAGACAGACCCATAGTGTAAGTCACTAATGGACAGTGTGCATTGTAAGAGGAAATCTTTTTGTATGGGCTCGACCTTAAGAAAAGTAAAAACTGGACTGTGATCCAAACAGTAGAAATGGTGAGAACATTGATTGGAAAGAAACTTGATATCATGACCCACAAAGGTATGGCCTCTGCTTGCCTTAGGCTCGGAGCCTGTCTTGGATTAACTCAGCTCAGTCTGCTGCCTGCACCAGTGCTGTACATCTGCCCAGGCCTTCCCACTTTGGACTGGCGCATTGTCTCCTGGGGTTGGCCCTCACTGGTGGCGGCCCTCAGTGGCGGCCTGCTGACGTGGGTCACCCCGTCCTTTTCTCCTAGGTCTGTCAGCTTTTGTTCATGTTTATTTGTGTGTTATTATTTATTCATATTTTATTATTTTATTTTGCTATGAGTGCTAGGCCTATTGATAATAAGGGATTATCCATATTTATTGAAATACTAGGAATTACTGGATTGCTCTAAATAAATTTTACAGAAATTAGGCACCTGCTTAGATACCTAGGAGTTGCATGCTTTGAGACTCCTTTTTATGACCTCATCGGGAAGCTGAAAGGCTACACATGTATAGGGTTTCCACCTTTTGCTTTGTCCATCAGCTTCTCATAGTTTATTATTTTGCTGGGAAGAAGTAGTTTGGGTTTGAATGATATTAAATATGTCAGCTTTGGGCTTCTTTCAGATTTTCCCCAGAGCTAGGAATATATTTAGGATCATTTCAAGAAGGATAGCTATGTTAACAAAGCTAGAATTAAACATATTTTAGGTTTTATCAGTTGTGAAGATAGTGCAGATAATAGCCTATATAATGGGTGATTGATTAGTGGTTCTTGTTTTTTACTAGTCTTGTATGGCAGGGTAGTGAGCGGAGTATACACAAACACAGTATTTCTCTAGGGTTCTATCTACAGAATGATTTTGATAATACCAGTAGTCATAATTTGCAGAAAATTTTTAGTGTATACAGACGATATAAGTGGAAAGTATTGCATGGTGGTTACTGAGTTTATAGGTCTCTTGTGTTAAATATTTTATAGGTAAATATAAATGAGAAACCAGCGTTGGACGGAGTGATCTATCCTTCCTGCTCTAAAATATTGGTTTGGGTGTGAGATTGTATTTAGTCTTTTGGATGTTGAGAATTCATGCATTTGTTTGTCACTGAAAGAGCTGCAGTGTTCTTTAATCCTTTAAACTTAAATATGTGTAGATTTTCTAATAGTCAACTTTTGATGTGTTTAGTTATATGCTAAAATATTTTTCTTTAACTTATAAATAGAATAGTGGGAGTATTTTTATTTTAAATTCCTAATGATTTTGAATCTAAATTCGGTCTAAATCATAGACGGAATAGCCTACCGCTCTCACAAACACTAGTTCTGTAATGTGCATTAGTCAATGGTTTGATCTTTGAATTTAGATTCTTGAAGACCTGGATGAACAGATTTATATTATTACCCTAGAGGAGGAAGCACTCCAGAGACGACTAAATGGTATGTATGTATTCTGTGGTTAGGGCTCAATAAAAAATTATTTAATTCAGAAAAAGACAGCTAATTGAGGGGGAAAAATACAGGCCTCTTAGCACATTGTGCTGAGTCACCAGGTCAAGACGTAAGAGTAACATGTGAACGTCTCAGGTGAGGACAGTTTTGCTAAAGACTAGTGGCACTGCGGTCAAGCACCCGTCTTTCCCTATAGCTGTGATTAGGTGGGATTTAGCAAGGCCCGTTTGGTTCTAAGACACTGACCACGAAGGTATCCGCCTCTAGTGCTGTGTATTTTAAACATGACGACTTAGTTACTGAGGTTTTGCAAATTTGCATGTTTTCTTAGTGACTTTAATGTCTCTATTTCATTTCTTTCCTGTTGAAGTCTTAAGATCAAAAGTAGTCTGTCTCTTTGCTACTAGGTACCAAATTTGACGGTCTCAGTTGCGCTTAGGAGCTCTGTTGTTATTTGGGAATTCTGTTCATTATCAGCTGTGATAAGCATGTCAAAGATCTCAAAGTTTAATTTTTATTTACTCATCCTTTTGGCTTCAAATGAAGAACCAGTGAAAAAAAGAGTAATGACGTAGTTTAACAAAGAAATGATATAGTTTGGGTAAATTTTCTATTTTACTTAAATGCTTTTTACTTTGCACTCTCTTCTCCTGTGTGGTAGTTGTTTTCTTCTTTAACGTTGAAAACCAGTCCCAAGATCAGATTACTAGGAGCTAACTGTATTTCAGGATCATAATTAAAGAGCAGGTATAAAATGGAAGGTTACTTTAATTATGAAATAGAAATAGACCTACTTTCTTAGTTACAAATAGTGAATTTAAATCATCAACTCAAAAGTGTTGCTAACATTTAGAACTTTATTCTTAGATCAAAGAATTTCAGATTTTATCTATTTTAGAGAATTCTTGGCGATAATATTGTTTCCTTTGGTACCAATAACTGTTAGACTGGAACTACATGTATCTTTTTTTCTTCTAATATTATTAAAGCTATTTTAATATTTAAGCCTATTTTATTTCAGAATTACAACTTTTCTCAATACTGTCAGCTTCATAAAATTTCATTAAAGTAGTACATATTATAATAAATTTGCCTTACTCAGGTAGTCGTGCTAACATGTGATAAATATGCCTGAATTGTCCCGCTGCTGCCTGCGCTGTGCAGTTGTGCTTCTGCCTGAAGCAGGTGGCCTTTCTGTCTCTATAGATCAGGAGGCTGAGAACTAGGAAGGGTCAAAGATAGTGCCCCTTGGGGGCACCTGGGCAGCTCAGTTGGTTAAGCTTTCAACTTTTGATCTCAGCTCAGGTCTTGATCTCAGGGTTGTGGGTTCGGGCCCCACAGCAGACTCCACGCTGGATGTGGAACCTATTTAATTAAAAAAAAAAATACAGTGCCCCATCAGTTAAAGAATTTGAGTTAAAACTAAACCAAAAATACAGCCTTTTCTCACTTTTTACTTCAGGAAAAAGTCCCCCTAGAATCTTTTTTTGATCCTTTGACTTCTCAAATGCAAAAATGGATCATTATAGCCAAAGAAACTGAAAAAGAAGTAGTTGCCAGAAGGCTAGGTATATTACAAATTGTAGCCAAACCCAAGTAAGCAGAATACCCTGACTAGCACAGAAATATAATATGGAGAGGATTAAGCGTTATATGATAGCTAATGCTAAGTATAATTTTGTTTTCTACCATTTCGGTAAGCTATGCACCATTTCTAAGTGCTCTGTTGGTAGGTTGTTAAATTCTTTCTACTGACACTCTTTAATGATATGTTGGAATAGTTGCTGTAGTGTTATAATTTGCTCCTTGTTAGCACTGTGGACTGTTTCAGGTGGAAAACAACAGGCTTGTAACACAGATGGTTCTATAGTAAAGCGTCCCACTCTTGATCTCCGTTCAGGTCTTGATCTCAGGGTCCTGAGTTTAAGCCCTATGTTGGGCTCCATACTGGGCATGGAGCCTACTTAAAAAAGTATAGATCATAGAAGGTAAGTAGTGGGAATCATCCCTATGGGTTTTATTAAATCTAGTATTATGCCAAATGTATTTTGTTTTAACAGTTATTTTGCATTTTAAATTTTTCTTAAAAAGTGAATTTAAAATAGTTTTTATTGTGGGCTCTATTTTTCCTTAAAGATTTTATTTATTTGAGATAGACCACGTGTGTACAAGCAGGGGAGGGGAGGGGTAGAGGGAGAGGGAAAAGCAGACTCCCCTCTGAGCAGGGAGTCCAATGTGGGCTCGATCCCAGGACCCTGGGGTCGTGATCTGAGCCAAAGGCAGATGCTTAACTGACTGCACCACCCTGACATCCTATATTCTGGGCTATTGAAAAGAAATACAGAATAATAAGAGTAAAAGATTAAAAAATTTTTACAGCAGTGATTTACTCCAGAATTCCTGGTGGTAGTTTGCTAGTGGCCCTTGAGTGTGCTTTTCTTGGTTTGTGTGGGGATGTGTGATGCATATCACAGGAGCCTTTGGCACATTGGCATGGTTTGCTCTGAGCTCAGCTTCACAGTCATCGAAAAAACATAACACTTTTTTTTTTCTTGGAGATGTATACCTTGTTATGGTAGTTATTACATTACTGGAGTTGAATTTCCGTGCATAGTTTTTAAAGTATCAGTATAGCTTTTTGAGGGGATACTTGCCTGTGACTTTTCCATTGTTCCTGTTTATTGCTTGTTAGTGCTAGTTTTGTTCTTACTAATATTTGTATTACTTCAGAAAATTTGTTAATAAAATAAAGCTAACCTATACACTCGTGTACTATAAGTCACTGTTTGAAGAAGCCGTCCTGTTAGCGGTCTGCGTGGCTTCTTCTCCCCCTTTTCGGTTTGCTGCTCATCTTCTTCTAAGCGCCAGACCTTGAGCAGATGAATTTAAATTCTGAGTCTCAAGATCACAGATGAGTTGGCTGAAGAAGAGAAAAACAAGGCAAAGATCTATAAGATTTTATCCAGAACCAGAATACTTGAAAACGAGAAATCGTTGGTGGGAGTCGTGTGTATTCCTGGACCGGAGGGAGCCCCAGGTCTCTAGCCGTCTGGTGCAGACAGCCCTCCCTGGTGTCCAAATCCCCATGGCAGGACCGAGATCTCAGGACTCAGCACTGTCCTTGTGAGGCTCTGCTCCTCTCGTCCCCCGCACACAACCTTCTTTGCTGTCTGCCTTGAGGCGAGGAGGAGGAGTGCTTGCATCCTGCCCTTCCCCCTTTCTGCAGTCGGCATAAGGAGCCCAGAATATCCAAGACCCTGGCATCTCAGATGGGCCTCGAATCTCGCATTTCTGACCTGATTTCCCACTGTCGTGAGCTCCTGAAACTCTGCTTATACCATGTGGGACCACGCGGGCCTCAGAGCTGCTGGCTCACGGCAGCAGAGGCACCCAGACCCTCAGTCTTCTCCCTCTTGCTGGAAGAAACTTGGCTCTCCCAGCACACACGGCTTCTCAGTCCCTCCAGATGGTAGCTCTGTTCTCGCCCACATCCTCCACTCCACTTCTCCAGGAGCTTAGGCAGGCCTCCTCTCATTCTCTTCTGCGGCTTTCACACACTTCGAGTCTCATGTCATTAGATCGTGACCCGACCACCTCTCCCTTTTCCCTTCAGCCCTCTCCGTCCGGACAGTTCCTCTTCTATTCCTCAAGGTTTTAGTTCTTGCTCACGATCATTCTTTCTGCCGCTCTTCCTGTCACAGCTGGTGATTTCAGCGTCTGCGTGGATGACCTTTCCAGGCTGCTTGGCCCTCCACAGACCTCTCTCTTAATGGTCTTCCTCAGCCGCTTGCTGCCCGGGGCCACAGCGCAGGCCCGTCACTAGCACTGACAAGTTCTCGTGCCACCTCAGCTCTCCAGCTCGCCGCCTGAGGTGTGCCATGCCCTATGGTTCTTCATGCCATCTGTCCGTCTTGATAACTTTTTACTGCCTTTCCTCCCTCGCTTCCTTCAGACCCTCGATGCCTCACACCGTTTAAGTTCCTGGGCTGTCATTTGACTCAGTGCCCTACTCTCTCAGTGCCCTTCCCTCTGCTTCGCTGAACTCTAGCCGTGGTCATAGCCAGCTCTTGGTGTCCTCAGCACGCACACCGATGCAGCTGCCTGCCTGGCCTTTCCTAAACGTGTGATGGTGTGTTAGGCGTGTTTTACATCCCCCTGGAGTGATTTTGTATCTTCTTTTTCCTCAAGACTTCATCATCCGTCTCAGCCGATGGCCTTGCTTCCTCGTTTCTTGAGAAAAATAGCAGCAGGCATGCTGAGATGTTGACAGGCTTTTTCCTGCATATCATTCGCCTACCTGCTGCTCGCCCACACATGCCGCCTTTCTGCGGTGGCGCGACCGGACTGTCCACGCACCGGGTTCAGTCCCTTCTCCCTGATTCAGGGACACACTGATGGCCGTCCTACTGTCTCTCTGACATAAGCAACCTTTCTCCAGTTGGATCATTTCATTCAGCATAGAACATGCTGTAATTTTTCTCAGTAGAATGAGCAAATGGGAGGAAGGAAGGAAAAGAAAGGAAGGAAGGAACTGAAATCAGTCTGTCTTGACTTCTACCCCTTCTGGCTTATCATCTCACGGCTTCGCTTGTCTTGATGGCAGAACTCTGGGGGCTGTACCCTCCTCAGTTCCATTGCCGTGCTCCACATTGGGCTTTGGTGCCGCTCTCGCCTCCACTGCTGTACTGACGGTGCTGTTGTCGAGGTGGCTAGTGACCTCGGCGTCCTCGACCACACTCCTCATTCCACTTGGTTTTCAGTTCACTACACTTTCCTTGTTCTTTTACTTAAGGAGCTACTGCTTCTCAAAAAACTGCTGGTTTCTCTCTGTGTCCGTAGCTGCTTCTCATTGGAACACCTCATACCTCAGTCCTTAAACTCTTCTCTTGTTTGTTTCCCTGCCTGCACCCCTTTGGTTATCTTATCTGGTCTTGCGGCTTTGAATGCTGACCTCTCCTTTGACCTCTCCATCTGTCTAGTAGACATTT